ACCCTGGCGGCGGGGGAAGGGGGGCAGCTGCGGGGAGGACTGGCTGAGACCCGGGAGAGGGAGCGGGCGGCTCTACGACCGAAGGCTTCGGGTAGTCGGAGCCAGAAGGGAGGTGGTGCGGTTTCGTGTCGTGACACATGGTTGCTCATCTCCCTCGAGAATCTTAAGGAAACGTCGCGTTTCGTTTCTCAGGCTGGTAAGGGGGTGCTACGATACCCTAAGTTAGAAGGTCTGGCTTGCACTGTGTGCTGCCAGTGTGCGGGGGACCAGGCAGCTCTCTGGAGAGAGATTCGCCAAAGTTCTGATGTGCTGCGGGGTAGGAGTGTGTGGAACGCATGAATCCAGCTTTCTTGACTTGAAAGGAATTGCTAGAGCCCATTCCTGCATTTAAATAACAGGAGCTGCTGGCTTAAGAAGTATTTCCCTAGTGATGATGCTGTCTGGCTTCTTCAGTACACTAATGCAGCAACTGACAGTTCTGTGAATAAAAACGTGTCCGTGGCTTTGTGATACGGAATAGTAATAAAGCCTAGACCAACATATGGAGGATACTCTGCTGGTGATGAAGTAGTGTGTGGTCTTGTGCATGGTAGCTCACATGGTTGATAGGCAACAACAGAGTATTTGTTAGCTGTAACTTGTGAACCCAAACCTCCAAAAATATTCTGTGTGCAAACTTAGTGAGCCCTTCTTTTCAGGGAAAATCCTGCTGGGCTAATCTTGCACTGGGAACTTGAAATTCAGTTGAAGTGTCGGTTTGGTCTGCTTGTGAGGAGCCCGTGAGTGATGCTGTATGGCATCCAAGTTTGTCTTCTAGGCTATGCTCTGCTGTAGCCAGTTTACTGTATAAATAAAGAACATGGCAGGCTCACTCATTGGACCTCTAAGGTGTTAACATCGGACACATGAGCGTACAAATTCTTGTGACCACAGCTTAAATACCTGTGAATGCAGAAAGCTCGTTAAGGCTAAGATGAACAAAGTGCCTTACCCTTCAGGTCCTGGAGGTGGAATGGTGTGTGAATTCAACGCAGAATTCTTATTCTGGTTTGCATCTCTTCCCCTTCCTGCTTCTCTGTTTATGGAGGGACAGAAGGGGTGAACTTTTTGGGTAACGTTTGAGGTCTTTTGTACAGGCTGAACAGCTTAAAAATGGAGAGGCAATAAACCAGGCTTTGGAGGAAGAGTCTGCTCTAATTTAAAGCAGACTAGACTTCCACTGCCCTTCCAGCTATCAGCACAGATTATCTGTCTGTTGTGGTAAAAGCACAGTTTTGTTGCTCATCCGTGGAGAGCATGGACCGAACAATGATGCTGACAACAAGACTTTAACATCAGCAACACCAGAATATTCAAATGCAATGCAGCTGGGATTTCTGGATTACTTCGGTTTTTCAATAAAGCAGATTTGTATCCTCTCATACAAAGAGGAAAACCCCTTCTTCCACTACCTGCAGAAGCTTCTGTGAGTGACATATGTAAAGCAATGTGAACTTCACAGCTAGCTAGATGTGGCCGCTTTTCTAACACCTGTTCAGAAACTGACTGACTGGAGAATGGCTGCTGTCAGGGTGCTGTACTGGTCCAGGAGCAGTAATTCAGCTCCTTTAGGTATGTGATCTTGAGATGGGTTACTCCTGTAACTTTGTAACAGAGTTTGACTGTGGAACATAATGCCTTATGTAGCAGAAGCTGATGGGGTATGTAAACTGTTTAAAAAGCTGGTGTTGCCAAAGTTTTCCTCTTCATACTAGCTGCCTCTGTATTATATGACTCAAAAGCAAATATTGAGAACTTGCAGCTTCAGATGCGGATGATAGTTGTGGAAGTGGTGTCTCCTGGGGAGTTCAGGCAGTTGAACCTTCAGTCTGTTCATGCTAGCTTCTGTATTAAAAAACTCAACCAACCACTAAATTACATAGTAACCATTGGCAGTCAGCTGATGACTGGGTTAGTCCAAGTTCAAGGGTGACTTGATATGTGTTGGGAATCATGTTTACAACTAAGGTCCACACCATGTGGCAGATTTGATTAAAGCTGTCTTATCGATTGCTGAGAGCAGTAGACTCCTTTCAGTTCTGTTCGTGGTCAGTAGCCTCCATTTTGAGGTATTACCTGATGCTGGGAATCCCTGCTGCACTAGAGGCTTTCATTACTAGAGCCTTTTCTCTTACTTTGCCCTTAGAAACAGAGGCCTGCTACCAATGTATGTGTCAAATGCCGCATGCACTTTTCTCCTGGAGGACAATACAAGCAGAACGATGTTTTGTCTGTGCTCAAGGAGGTTGTAGGTAAATGTTAAAGAAAAAAAACAAAACAAAAAAAACCAAACCACTAGCAACCAGCTGGTCAGAGGTTTCTCCCAGTAAGGTGCTACCTGAAGAAAATATTCATTAACAAAGTTATAAGATCCTCTGATAGTGTGATCAAATAGTTTTGTGGTGGGATTCCCCTTCTGTTAACAAAGATGATTTGGTTTTTATGTGAAAGTTTGTCACTTCACAGTTAACACAGAAGATGGCGATGGAAGTCAAATGGACAGGTTGAGTAGCTGGTTTTGCCCCCACTGCTGCCTGCCTTCCTCCAGAGCAATTAAGCTCTCTGGCAAAACTTCAGGATTTCTCCCTAGTTCAGTATTTTGTAACTTGTAAGAGTAGGTGCCTTTGGACCTTGCATCTCTCTTTTTTTCATTGTCCCACAGCAATTTTAGCTGGTAATAGAGATGACTCACAGGGTAATGCCTGATTGTAGTCAGGACCAGGTCTTCTATGGTGTATGATGTGTGACCCAACTGTAGGTATCGTGCCCTCCCACTTTCCCCTTGTTCTGTGCAACAGCAAACCTGAGGTGTGTGGCCGCATGGTGGGCACATCCCAGGACTGGACTTCCTTTTGAAGAACACCATAATTAAGCAGCTGGACAGAAGATGTAAGGGTAAGAAGAGGATGGTCTAAATGGCAAGAAGTAGAATCAGCAGAGAGCTGGTGATGTTACAATGCAGAGGTGTGAGAAGCTATACCAAAACCCAAGCTGTAGGATCTGAAGGTGGGGAGGAGTGAGGCTTGTCGGAAGAACTCGTGGTGTAAGGAGTTGCAGGGAGCAGCTTGCATGGGTTGCTGTGTACAGGGACATTGAACTTTGTCGGTGGGAGTGGGATGCTTTTGGGATTGGGGTGCAGGAGTGCATACTAGGTCAGTACAGGAGTGAGGGAATGTGGAGAGACAGGAAAACTTACTGTTCCCATCTCTTTTCAGGCTGAGAGTAGGTGGTGTGGACTGTTAGCTACTGAGCTTGCACCAGAGTAGACTGAATATACAAGATACAAGGATGGAAGAACTCAACATGTGGAGGCTGCACTGCTGAAGATGGCTACGTTGGGAGGGAAAATGTCTGATCAACAGGGAGGTGTAATGCTGGGTATACTTGGAAGTTATAGGAACTTACGAAGACTTCCACATAGGTTTATACATAAGAATGCTGGTGCAGGACCCTTTGCTTGCTTGTAGAATATACTCTTGACCAGTTTGACTGTGTGTGCTCTTGGCTCCTCACCTGCATGTTATACTTTGATGGGGGGGAGCAGCTTACTGGAATCAAGTCTCAACTTACTGTGACTGATTGCAGAAGCTGGCATTAGTTAATAGCGCTGCAAAACCAGCCTCTGTGTGTGTAGCAGTAACCATGTTGCCTTCAGTTAGCTGTTGCTGGTAGAACTTGTAATAACTCTGGTCTGTTAAACTGGGGAGGATAAAGCAGCTACCTTTTATATGCATAATCTGAAATTGAGTTTATATTAGCAGCTTTCCTGAAGCTTTTGCATTGCCATGAGGGTGAAGTTGAGGAATATTGAAGTGGCTTGTACTTGCTTTGGAAGAGAAACTGTCAGGAAGTAGTTAATTAGCATTTTGTGCTTCTGCCTGAGATATTGCTAAAACATTATTTTTTTTACCAGAAAACATGCTTAATGGCATGTAAGGAGCTCTAAATTGCAAAGAACATTGTCCAGAAATGATTGCTATGACTAAGTGCAACAAACAGACTCGAAGTTCTAAATAAGTGTTGGGTGTTACTTGTGTAGTCTGTGTGTACCATCGCTTTGGCTACTGATGTTACATGTTGGTTCAGTTGGCAAAAGAAGTAAAATAACTGTCCTGTGAGGTTGCTTCAGAAAACACGCTGTAGAGTAAATCACACAACATCGTTTTGGTGTTAGCCATTGATTGGAAAAGGTGTCAAACTGGAGGAGTATACAAAGGTTTGTGTCCTTTTCAAATTCTGCAGAGGAAAGTCTGTCCCAGAAGAAAACAAAAGTCTTCCTGCCAAGACAAAAATGAGAAAATGGATTACATTCAGGGGCTAACACTAAACAGAGCTGCCAGAGTTGAGGATCGTAGGCTAGATGAATTTCTAGCTTACGTTTCCACAGTCCATTGAGTTGGGGTGACTGAGCGTCGTGGTGTTTGCTAACTGAAGAGTCATAAGACACTGGCTCATGCTAGCACTGATGAAAGCAATTCATGCTGGACCGCTTACATGATGGTACAAATACCTCAGTTAAGTGTTTAAAGAGCTACCAAAACGGTTGGTGTGCTAAGGCTGAGAGCAAGCTAGCTTTGGGATTAGTCTAAATTTTTGCATAAAGGAGAGGGAAGATGATTAATGTGTTCAATTCTTTTTTTACAGTCTGAATTTGAGGCAGAACTGCAGTCTGCTGGTGAGAAGCTTATAGTAGTTGATTTCTCTGCCACATGGTGTGGACCGTGCAAAATGATCAAGCCCTTTTTCCATGTAAGTAGCCTTTCTGTTTTTATTGGCAAATGTATTAAAGTGTATAAATGTTTTTGTGCTGCTTGATGATAACGTGGAGGCAACTTCACACGTGTGATTACCAGCTTTTTCTGGAAAAGCGAGAAGTCACAGAAGTATCTACTTTGAGACTATAAATTTAAATATACTGACCTTTAATAGAGCTAGGAGCTCAAATGTGCTTTAAATTCTGCTGTCCTAATGCTTACATGCATCTTGGGTCTATAGGGACCTAACAGTTTCATTGCCTCAAGAGGTGGGATGTAGAGTGGAAACAATGTTTATCCTTCTGTACAAAGCTACTGTAATTACTCCTGCTGTGTTTAGGTGGCAATATTATCTCCTAATAAAGTATGAGATAAGCTGTAGCTGATCTTTTGGTGGTCAGCTAAGGCTGTAAGAGGCGGCCTGTCACCTATGTCTTGGGATATTTTGAGTCTTCTCTTGAGCAGTATGTTTGAACAGGTTTCAACAGACTCTTCCAGGTATCAAAGCAGAAAACAAAGCTTTTGTTCTGGTCAGTAAAATAGGTGCTTTGAAGTAACAAGACAAGTCTCACTGAGGGGTAAGCAGCACCAGCCTTACAATTTATATGAAGTGTCTTTTAAAAGAAAGCTTTCCTGGGACACTGTAATCACATAGTTTCTTATTTCATTCTAGAATTTGTCTGAGAAGTATGGTGATGTGATCTTCATTGAAATTGATGTGGATGATGCCCAGGTATGGTCCAGGGTAATGCTGAGAGAGGGCAGCTAATGAGTTCCACCCAACTTACAATGAAGAACTGTTCTCAAAATGTTCTTTGCAGATACTGAAACAAAACGAGAGATTGCTTCAACTTCAAGAAGCAGAGATAGGGGTTTAGCACTTACACTGGAACGAATGAACTTTTAGGGGACTCCTGAACAGAGCAAACTGCCTTGGTTATATGCACACTTGAAGCCCTATGGCATGTGCTGGATACCTTGGCAATGCTGACCCTCTACTTTGGGAGGGAATGTTAGTCTAAGACCTTAAAGCTGCTTTGATGCAGTCATCCTTAAAACTAATGGCTCACAACTGTCTGGTGGTTGACCTGGTCTGTCCACTGCTCTTGGCACTGTTTCCTCTTTCATGTCTTGAATTAAGTGCAACAAAATGTCTGCTGTATAGGAGTTCCAGCAGTGTCAAATAGGTAGTTGAACAATGTCAGGTTGAGACACAAGAGTTGCTGTAGGGCTCCTGAGCCTTACAAATAGTCATCTCTGTTTGATGCAGAGGTCTAGTTTTTTCGTAACACGGAGTACAGGTATAGTAAATACGGCTTTGCTGTTGCATTAATTAGATGCTGAAGGGAGGATCTTTCAGGCTTGCTGCAGGGAGATGTTAACACTGCACTGTTTTTGCTAGTGATGGACTGCCGGAAGTGCTTTTACTTCATTTTGAGTATTAATGGCTTTGCCCTGTCACCTAAACAAAAGGCAGCTAGTGAGTTCTAAGTTTAACATCCTTCAGACATGCACACGTAAAGATTGCTTTCTGTCTCTTCCAGGACGTTGCTACACACTGTGATGTGAAGTGCATGCCAACATTCCAGTTCTACAAGAATGGAAAGAAGGTAGGCTCTGCTCTTTTGGAACTGGAGTAGACAAGCTAAACACTTGAAAGAACATTGGGAATGTTGGACTACAGTAACGTGCTTTCTCTAGATAATGTATCTGGGACACCACTGGCCATAAGACACTCATGAGAGTGACCAAGTTCATCTGAGTGCCGCAGCAAATGTAACGTGGACTGGCAGTTAACAAAGCAAACCCTGCTGTTCACAGGTAGTGAACTGAGTTAGTGTTACAGGTCAGTCTTACAGGCAGAGCTTCATGAGAGATTAGTGAGGTTAGATATCTGGGCTAAGAGTGCTAGTCTGTCTGCCTAGCACCCTGCTTTGTACCGATCGTAGTTAGTATTTGTTCTCTGGATGCAGCTCGCGTTCAAGCAGAAAGATGACTGTATGTGCCTGTGGAATCCCACCAAAACAGAAGTCTCTAACGTGGTTTAGTATACACTCAGGTGAAACAACTACTTGGATGTTTTTACATAGAGGCTGTGTAACCTGTGGAGGTCCTGTCTCTGTCAGGACTGCTCTGCTGTGAGGTGGATGAGATGCAGACCATGGTCTGACAGCGTAGTGGGCTGCCTGTGCAGGGTAGTTGTGAATGGCTATCTGCCTGAACTAATGAATTCCTGAGCTAAATGAGTTACTCGGGCTTTTAGTTTGCCAAGCAAGCTGAAGGTAGGCTTTTCTAAAGTAAAATAATGCCTGGATGGAAGTTTTATGACTGAAGGCACTGGAATTGCACCTTGAAAAGTGAGTGTCAGTGTTGAGTGACCTTCAGTTCAGCTCAATGTGGAGGCCAAGCAAGGACCAATAACAAACCTTTGACAGCTTTCTCGGGGTAAACTTCCACAACTTCATAATGTAATTGGAAGAATTGGGATTATGGTGTGACAGTGTGTGAAGGTGGTACGCTTAACCCTGTTGTGTGACTTTTTATTTTGGGGTACCTCGGCAGTTCGCTTGGTATCAACCAAGCAATTTCATGGCCTGTAGCGTAGTCGGCTCTGTACCTTGCACCCCTGTAGGTATTGGAAGACAGAGCTGCTGTCTTTAGCCACGAATGTTGCCCTTGTCTTTCTGCTGTGCAAGTTGCAACGGGGCAATTCTCACAGGAGAAGCCAGGCTCAGGGACAGGTTGTTGGAGCAATTCTTCTAGACTTTGGTTGGTAGGGGTCCTGAGCAACCCAAGGTAACTTTGAGCTACATCTGCTGTGCAGTGACCTCCAGAGTCTATTGGAGCCTGTATTTGAGTCTTAACATGGCATTGGTACAGGATCAATTGTCTTTTCCTGTGTTTTACATATAGAAGGCTCCAGTGATGGTAGTCTGGAAGTGATTCTTGATAAAGTCTGGTTCCAAATTTTGCATGAGTTGAATGGGAGATGAATAGATGGACATCTGCAAAATACTCCCTGTTTTGGTGGTGAAAAGACTTTAGTTGTAGCAGAGTTGAATAGATCTATATGTGTCTGGATGCTATGCAGCTAATGTTATGAAGCATTGAATGCAACAGTTCTAAAAATCAATCTCTTTTTACAGGTGCAGGAGTTCTCTGGGGCCAATAAAGAGAAGCTGGAAGAGACCATTAAGAGTCTAGTCTAATCTCCAGCAATGGAGACATTGAAGCATGACTGCTTCGGCTAAATTATAGCCTGTAACTTTTCTACTTAAAAAAAAAAACCTAAACAAGCTGGGTAGGTCACATGGTGGAAACTATCCTCTGGATCTATGTATATGAATCCAATAAAGTGTAAATTCTTCACTTCTGGATATTGCTGTGTGCTTGAATGAAAACATGAGGAATTTTGTAATGGCATCAAGGTGTCAGTTTTTGCTGTGTTAAAGGACTGATGTCTGGGTCAGAATCATTGAATCATTAAGGTTGGAAAAGACCTCCAAGATCAAGTCCAACTGCCAACCCAACACCACTGTGCCTGCTAAAATGGATACAAAGACTCTTGTCAAATGCAACCTGATCTATTACTGGGTTGTTGCTGGGAGCGGAAAATTGTGTTGCATGGGATAGCAATGACAGCTGCTTTAGGAGAAGTCTGCTGTGGCCTTTCGCCGGTGGTAGTCGGCAGTCTATAATCTGAAGAGTGGTGGTCTGGCTTGCAGATATAGAAAGGGGAGTGTAGGAGTTGTGGAGAAGAGGGTGGTCACTGGGTGAGATAGGTTCATTCTTTCGTTACCCCTTTTTAGCTAAAGGTTCTTTTAAAACTTGTCAAGCTTTATTTTAGACTTCAAAGATAGGATTTGGCTTATCAGAACATAATACCAATCCTACCATGGAAGTATAAGGTGGACTTGGAGCTGCTGCCGCCTTGTCTTTTCAGTTTTGTCTTACCATTGGTGTACCTTCTGGTTCTCTTAGTAGCAAAGTCTTTTTACTGTCTGGGTTGGGTGGCTTTGTTTGTAGGCAATAGTCTGGAACAAATGACTGAAGAGGCAAAACTGGTAGCCCGAGATAATTTAGATGTATGTGTTCTTGTCACTTTCATTTGACTGCATTATTGCATTCTTGAACATGCTAGACACTTGTTTGTCCTGGACAGTAAACTGGACTCACCAGTCCTCCAAATCTGCATCAGGTTGTCTAGATTAATGCTGATGTGCCAGCCTCTGTACTGTTCAACAGCCATTCACCTCTGGGAGGAGTTACTAGGGAGAACTGCTGTGTTTTTCCACTATAGCGAAATGGCTTGCTTGCTGGCTTGGGTGTTGTCCTGGATAAGAATTTGGTAAATAAGGAAGCAGGGCTGTAGCTAGCAGCTATGCCTGATGCAGTGGTTAGGGCTAGGTGAGCGGTGCTGCTCATTGAGTATGGCTGATCAAAAAGCAAGACTTCCTGCTACATATGCAGACAATGTGGAATGAGTGAGCCTCTTGTCTTTGTGGAAGAGAGCTCGTGTGTGACTCAGCCTTACACTCATTTCATAAGCATGCATGAATTTCCTGGCTGTTAAGGACTGGAGGCCTTCAACAGCTTGTTGCATATGTTCCCTATGTGAAACAAGACTTTTCTAGTCCAAGAAGTGACCACACCCTTTGGTTGAGCATGAGCCATCAAGGATCTTCTTGGATGTAAGCTCTGGATTGTGATTATGCAATAAGGGCATGCAAAATGTATTCAGTGCAGCTCTGGCTATTTAACTAAGAGGAGTGCAGCTGTGTGTTTTAATAAAAGACTCTTTGCACAAGTAAGTGGGAAACCACTACCCCAAGTGGCGCCATGGACAGACTTCTGGGGAGAGAATAAAATGAAGCTGGAGAAGAATGCACCAGTAACATCACCCCCTCTGCAGACAAGCATTGCTTTTAAACGCATTTCCTGGGTGGCCTGCTTATTCCCTCTAAGCAGCAGCTGGGAGCAAGAAAGGCTTTAAAAATTCTGGATGAAAAGTCCAGGCAAAGCTCAGTGGGGGCCCCTAAAATCCAGCTTGACCTTTAAGAAATAAAGAAGCTACCAAGATGTGCTGCAACATAGAGTATTTCTGCTGAGGTGTGGACAGACCAGGTTCTTACCTATTAACAGCAAGGGGAGGGTGTAGTTAATGGGAAATGCTGCTTATGTGTTGAATTTGACCTAATGCTTTGTTTACTCCCTGAGTAAGATGCCACTCTGCAATAGCCTTGAAAGATCCAGGTGACAAAGGAGTGACTGGAAATTCACAGTAGGATTGGGAAAGATCAGAAAAGCTGGAGTAAGTCTTGTGCTGAAATGGAGCATGCGAAGCAGCTCCTAAAAGTGCAGTGAGTCTTTGGCTTCCTGTGCTGCAGTATCTTCCTGTTCTGAGAACTGGCACGTTGGCATAGCGTGATGTAAATAACTTGTGTAGCCTTGTTTGTAAGGAGGTGCTCCTCAAGGCTTGGCGCTCTGAGGAATATGCAGTGCGGATCGGTGTGTTTGGTAAAATTTCCTTTTAAATGAACTAGCCAGTGTGTTCTCTTCAACTGCATAGTTATGCCAGAATTTGAGTATTTGGTGTTGGTCTGTGTCATCATAAGTGATGGAAGGCAAAGGCTAATGATTGTACGTCTCTGAGATGTGAGAAGTCTCGGCTCCTACAGCAACAGTGCCCATAGTGGGAGGAGAGAACTCCAGTTCAGGACGGGAGCTGGACTGAGTCTTCCAACAGGCAAAAACATGGGGTTTCAGCCTTTGTAAACATTTTGCCCTAAATGGAGTGGCTACAACTCGCCTTTCTAAAAGCTTGCGCCATATGCCCTGCCGCAAGGGTAATGCCCAGGAGAGCTCAGTCGAGGCACTTCTTTCTTAGAATCACAGAATGGTTTGTGTTGGAAGGGACCTTAAAGATCGTCTGGTTCCAGCCCCCCTGCCATGAGCAGGGACATCTTCCACCAGACCAGGTTGCTCAGAGCTCCATCCAGCCTGGCCTTGAACACTGCCAGAGAGGGGGCAGCCACAGCTTCTCTGGGCAACCAGTGTCAGGGCCTCACCACCCACATGGTGAAAAATCTCTTCCTGATATCTAATCTGAATCTGCCCTCTTAAGCTGTTCCCCCTTGTCCTATCACTACACACCCTTGTGAAAATCCCCTCTCCATCCTTCCTGTAGGCCCCTTCAGGTACTGGAAGGCTGCTCTAAGGTGACCCAAGAGCCTTCTCTTCTGCAGGCTGAACAGACCTAACTCCCTCAGCCTGTCCTCGTAGGAGAGGTGCTCCAGCCCTCTGATCATCTTTGTGGCCCTTCTCTGGACCCATTTCAACACATCCATGTCCAACATAAGTTGGGGGGCTCAGAGCTGGACGCAGGACTCCAGGTGGGGTCTCACAAGAGTGGAGTAAAGCGACAGAAACACCTCCCTCGACCTGCTGGCCATGCTTCTCTTGATGCAGCCCAGGATATGGTTGGCCTTCTGGGCTGCAAGTGCACATTGCTGCCTCATGTTGAGCTGCTTCTCCACCAGTAGCCCCAAGTCCTTCTCCTCAGGGCTGCTCTTGATCTACTCTCCGCCCAGCCTGTACTTGTGTTTGGGATTGCCCCGACCCTGCACTTGGCCTTGTTGAACTTCATGTGGTTCACACAGGCCCATCTCCAGCCTGTCCAGGTCCCTCTGAATGGCATCCCTTCCCTCCAGCGTGTCAACCACACCACACAGCTTGGTGTTGTCGTCAAACTTGCTGAGGGTGCACTCGATCCCACTGCCCATGTCGCCGACAAAGATATGAAGCAGCACCGGCCCCAGTACCGACCCTTGAGGCACACCTCTCATCACTGGTCTCCACCTGGACATCGAGTCATTGACTGCAACTCTTTGAGTGCGTCCATTGAGCCAGTTCCTTATCCAACAAGTGGTCCATCTGTCAAATCCATGTCCTTCCAATTTAGAGACAAGGACGTCATGTGGGACAGTGTCGAATGCCTTGCACAAGTCCAGGCAGATGATTTCAGTTGCCCGCCCTTTGTCCACCAATGTTGTAACCCCATCACAGAAGGCCACCAAGTTTGTCAGGCACGATTTGCCCTTGGTGAAGCCATGTTGGCTGTCCCCAGTCACCTCCTTGTTATACATGTGCCTTAGCATGGTTTCGAGGAGGATCTGCTCCATCATCTTGCCAGGCACAGAGGTGAGGCTGACTGGCCTGTAGTTCCCTGGGTCTTCCTTTTTTGCCTTTTTGAAAATGGGGGTGATGTTGCCCCTTCTCCAGTCGGTGGGGACCTCCCCAGACCAACACGACCTCTCAAATATGATGGAGATGCTTGCTTGTTTTTCATGTGAGGGAGTGGGACTGGTACTGCTGTAGGGCAGGTGGTAGTGCAGCAGAGTTGCTCTGTCATTGAACTCTGTGATCTGCCCTTTGCATGAACAGCTGACTGCTTTGATCCGGGGATCTGAAAAGATGCCTGTAAGAGGGAAGTGGTAGGCGGGCAACTGACTCCAGTGTTTGGAAGAAGATTAATGTACATGGCAGAGAAGAAACAACGGACAGAGGTTTCTTCTGGGAGTAAGGGCTTCAGGAAGAAGTTATCCTCCCGTCAGGTGATGACTGCAGTCTGTTTCATTTGGCTACGAAGTGGCTGGGATCTGTGCCTTGCTTTCAGACCAGTAGAGTAAGATGCTTTTGTTTGCAGGCCTGTCACACAGCCTGCTTTCTTAGAGTGGTCTGGCCATCAGGAAGAGAAGTACTTCTTGGGCACAGCAGTTGGGATTGTGGCTGGAATGAGGAGGCTTGGTGAGAGAGGACTAACTGCCAGGAACTGGAGGGTCAGAGGCTGGCAGTGACCGGACAGAGGAACCGGGTGTGATCAGATTGCAGTGAAATAGCAGCACTCCTTAACTCCATGTGTTCTGAAACTGCCATCATGCACTTGGGGAAGGGTCCTCTTAACCACCCGTGCATCTCTTCCACACCTTCTCTTGCAGCAGTCAGCCTAACTCCAACTCCAATTAACCATCTGCTTTTCATTCTTTCCTTGACCTGAATGAAGTTAGATTTGGATTGCCCCCCCCGAATGATTCCAGTAAGAGTACTTGTAATTATTCTGATGTTTAAATTCTTCCTGTTCATTCATCAGAATTAGCTGGATCTAGCAAGGACAAAGAAACCAACGTTCATCATTTTACCAGTGCCATCAAACCAAGGCGTATCAGCTCCTCTGTGCTGTGCTCTGTGGCATGCAGCTTTCAGCTGCCCAGGGAACTGGCTTGAGGGATAAGCTGGTGAGCTCCTTGCTAGACTGACTCTTGTAGTGCTGGTCCCTTACCCGAGGTGAGGGGTGGGAGTGGCTGACTGACGGGCTGACCCTGGCCCCTCCTATCACTCCTCCCCTCAGCGGGACAGGGGGAGAAAGTGACACAAGCTTGTGGCTTGAGATAAGGACAGGGAGATTACTCAGCGATCACAGTCACGGGTAAAAGGGACTCAACTTGGGGAAATTAATTTATTGCAGTTAAGCAGAGTAGGATAATCAGAAATAAGAACAGATTTATAAATACCTTCCCCTACCTCTCCCTTCTTCCCTGGCTCAGTTTCACTCCTGGCTCTTCCACTTCCCCACCCCTGAGCAGCGCAGGGGGCTGGGGGTTGCAGTCATTTCATAACCTGTCATCTTTGCTGCTCCTTCCTCCTCATGGTCTTCCCCTGGTCCAGTGTGGGGTCTGCAGGGTGCAGTCCAGGAACAGACTGCTCCAGCGTGGGTCCCCATGGCCACAGGTGCTGCCAGAAAACCTGCTCCAGCCTGGGCTCATCTCCACAGGTCAGAACTCCTGCCACAAGCCAGTTCCTCTGTGGGTTCCCCACAGGGTCACAGCCTCCTCTGAGCATCCACCTGCTCCAGCATGGGGTCCTCCCTAGGCTGCAGCGGGAGATACGCTCCACGGTGGACCTCCATGGGCTGCAGGGACACAGCCTGCCTCACCATGGTCTGCTCCACGGGCTACAGAGGAACCTCTGCTCTTCCTCACTGAAGCAATCAAGTTTGGTTTTTCACCTTTCTTTGCTAGTTTTGTGTGCTGGCAGTGCTTCTGGTGTGTAACAGAAAACTTGGATTTTCAGGAGGAAATAGCTATGCTCAGTGAAGTTCAGAGGTTTGGGGGGAAGTTTGGTTTTACCAAAAAGAAAAAAAAAATGTTGCAAAATTGTCTGCAATTCATGAAGCATGAAATCTATACACAGCGAGAGGAACATACAGGTCAGTATTTTATGAGAAAGCAGGCTGAGGCAGGATTATTCTGACTGACAAATCTTTCTGCAACTCTGACCAAGGGCCAGGAACTCCATGTGGCTATTTTTAGTTCATTCCTAAATCACAACTTGACTTAAAACAAGAGATCATGAATTCACTGGACTTAATTCAGTATTGTAGGACCTGCAAGCCCTCTGAAAACTTCTCAACAAAAAGCTACCAAACAACAGCAGATCCCTGCACAGTGGATCTGAAGCCTACTGACAACAAACTCCCTTTTCTGGTTTACCATTTCCCACACTGTGCAGCAGTATTAATCCACAGATCTTTCTTACAGGCCAGTTGAAACCACAGTACTGGAGCTAACCCAAACTGGCAATTCGTTCTCCTCAGAAGACCCCATGAAGCAACCAGAACCTCTCCCCTGCTTGTGCCAAGATGCATTATTTCCCCAGTGGCCAGTCAACCTGTATTTCAGGACGTGTGTTTTGTTCAGTCTACTCGGCAAGTATCAGTTGATCTACACCCGAAGTAAGCGATCTCTTCTTGTTGCTAGACAGAGCATCTAATCCTAGCACTGCAAAAACTTTAAGGCCACTTAGGATCCCTCTTCACAAATCAACGAGACCTAAAAATTAACTAGGAAGCCCTCCACAGTGGTTGAAGATGGATCACCATCACATTCAATACCTGTTGTTATGCTGCAGTGAGCAGCAGGTTCTTGTTCTGGGTTTTTCAATGCATACAAGACACTTATTGCTGCTGTGTGTCTCCTTTGCTCAGCACCACGTGGGTCCTGGACACCAATTTAACACACCTAGGGCCAGCGCACTGATCCATCTTCCAGGAGAGCCAGGGTGAACACTATGGCATGGCCAGCTCTAAGCTTGGACACCAATGGCCAAATTACTCAAGGAAGTAAGTGACCTATCCCTGCCACCTATGCTGTGAGATCTACTGGGATAAGTAACTAGTGTAACTACTGGTGCCCCCCAGGGGTCAGTACTGGGCCCAGTCTTGTTCAACTTCTTCATCAATGACCTGGATGAAGAGTTAGAATGTACCCTCAGCGAGTTTGCTGATGACACCAAACTGGGAGGAGTGGTGGCTACACCAGAAGGCTGTGCTGCCATTCAGCGTGACCTGGACAGGCTGGAGACTTGGGCAGAGAGGAACCTGATGAGGTTCAACAAGGGCAAGGGCAGGGTCCTGCAGCTGGGCAGGAACAACCCCATGCATCAGTACAAGCTTGGGGTGGACCTGCTGGAGAGCAGCACTGCAGAGAGGGACCTGGGAGTGCTGGTGGACCACAAGCTGACCATGAGCCAGCAGTGTGCCCTGGCTGCCAAGAAGGCCAGTGGGGTCCTGGGATGCATTAGGAGGAGTGTGGCCAGCAGGTGAAGTGAGGTTCTCCTCCCCCTCTACTCTGCCCTAGTGAGGCCCCATCTGGAGTACTGTGTCCGTTTCTGGGCTCCCCACTTCAAGAAAGATGAAGAGCTACTGGAGAAAGGCCAGTGGAGGGCTACAAGGATGATGAGGGGACTGGAACATCTCTCCTACGAGGAGAGGCCGAGGGAGCTGGGCTTGTTCAGCCTGGAGAAGAGAAGGCTGCAAGGAGACCTGATAAATATTTATAAATATCTGAAGGGTGGATGTCAGGAGGATGGGGCCAAACTCTTCAGTGGTGCCCAGAGACAGGACAAGGGGCAATGGGCACAAACTGAAGCACAGGAAGTTCTGTCTGAACATGAGGAAGAACTTCTTCCCTCTGAGGGTGACGGAGCACTGGAACAGGCTGCCCAGGGAGGTTGTGGAGTCTCCTTCTCTGGAGATATTCAAGACCCCCCTGGACAAGGTCCTCTACAGCCTACTGTAGGTGACCCTGCTTCAGCAGGGGGGTTGGACTAGATGACCCACAGAGGTCCCTTCCAACCCCTACTATTCTGTGATTCTGTAATCACTTGTAGTATTTTAGCCACTCTGTGTTAACCACAAGGACATGAGGGGGAAGGCATTCCACAAACAGAACTATAACACAAAGTATCCATTAACAGCTTTGGTTTTTATTTCCATTATATCAGAATAACTGAGATCTACATTTCGTGATGAAGATGAAAATAAAAAAAATTAAAAAAAGCCAGCGATGTGAGGAAGCTGGGAATCTCCAGGTGTTGTTAGCCTGTTCTTTGCTCCTTAAAATTGGTTAAACAAATCCCTCTTGTTGAGTTCTGGGCCACATCAGTATGTAAACATTAGTCATCAGACGGACCATCAGCTGGAAAAGCTTTTGGAATTACTTTTACAATGGCTTTTCCAATATTTTCTCCCTTTAACACTCCAATGAAAGCCATTGGCATGTTCTCAAATCCTTCAGTTACTGTTTCACGGAACTTCACTTTTCCCTGTCAAAAGAAAGAAAATTGCAGAGTTATTCACCAGCTGCCTAGTTTTTACCATCATGCCCCTGTACGTGGCACTGGTGAGGCCGCAGCTCAAGTACTGTGTTCAGTTTTGGGCCCCTCACTGCAAGAAGGACACTGAGGTGCTGGAGCATATCCAGGGAAGAGCAACAGGGCTGGTGAAAGGTCTGGAGAACAAGTGTTATGAGGAGCGGCTGAGGGAGCTGGGGGTGTTCCGCCTGGAGGGGGGTGGTTTTTACCATCATGCCCCTGTACGTGGCACTGGTGAGGCCGCAGCTCAAGTACTGTGTTCAGTTTTGGGCCCCTCACTGCAAGAAGGACACTGAGGTGCTGGAGCATATCCAGGGAAGAGCAACAGGGCTGGTGAAAGGTCTGGAGAACAAGTGTTATGAGGAGCGGCTGAGGGAGCTGGGGTTGTTCAGCCTGGAGGAGGCTGAGGGGGGACCTTATTGCTCTCTACAACCACCTGAAAGGAGGTTGTAGTAAGGAAGGTGTTGGTCTCTTCTCCCAAGTAACTAGTGATAGGATGAGAAGAAGTGGCCTCAACTTGCACCAGGGGAGGTTTAGATCAGATACTATGAAAAATTTCTTCACTGAAGGGTGCCCAGGGAAGTGGTTCAGTCATCATCCCTGCAGGCATGTAAACGGCAAGTAGACCTCAAGCTTAGGAACACGGCTTATTGGTGGACTTGGCAGTTGTTAGGTTTATGGTTGGACTTGATGATATTAAGGGACTTTTCCAACCTAAATGATTCGATAATTCTATGATCCTTATGAGACTAAACTGCAACCAGAGTTTCTTCAGCTTGTATGTTTCATCTGAAACATGTAAGCTGGCACACATCAAGGTAACTTTGCAAAACTAGGTAGGCTGTTGTGAATATCTGCTATTGTTGCAAGACCTTCTACTTGGAGTCATAACAGCGAGCAAAAGTCACTGCTGCAAAAACACACTGTTGTGGTTTTGCCTCAATTTGCAACAAAGAACCACACAGTTACTCTCTCACTCCGTCCCCCTCCCTGGTGGGATGGGGAGGAGAATCAGAAGGAAAAAGGCAAAACTTGTGGGTCGGGATGAGAACAGTTTAACAGAATGGCAAAAGGAGAAGACAACAACAATACTGATAAAAGCATATACAACATGCAGTGTTCTCACCACCCGATGCTCAGCTTGCTCCCGAGTAGCAAAAGCCTCTCCTTCAGCCAGATCCCCCCTTAAATACTGAGCTTGACACCACATGGTATAGAATGTCCCATCTGATTGGCTGTTTGGGTCAGCCCAGCCAGCTTGTTGTGAAAATTAACTCTGTCCCAGCTGAACCCAGGACATAGACCAGGACAGATTTAGTGCTATGTGATCCCTAAACAATGGGCAGGTTTCCCCACAGCTAGGCCTGTCTCTACCCATAGGGACATATGGAACTGCAAATCCAAATGATTAAAGTCTGAGCCATCCCAAATCCTCATGTTTGTAAAAGCTAGAGCCTCTTCACCTTTAGTGTGCACACTCACAAGCTTTTCACAGCCATGAATCAAGTGTTCAACTCAGCTTCCATTTAGAAAAATAAAATCCTATTAAGTCACATTAAAGTCCAGCTCTTGATGCCATAAAAACATCCATTCTTACTAGTAATTTCAGTACAACACTACAAAGGAAATCGTTGCTTATACTATAAATGAAAGGAGACTTCTGAATGAGGAACAGAGGAATCACTCTAAATATGGAACTCTTCATCGCCAGAGAAGTGTTTTGAATTAGTCTAGAAGCATCCTTTTCCAAAGCCTACATGTATTCTGGAACACATCTAAGTCCACAAGCTAATATCGCAGGTCTCAACAAAGCAGAAGGGTTCAGGCATGTTCACTACAGTTGGAGTATCCCCAGAAGGCTCAAAGATTGAGTCAGGTGGAAGAAAAGTATCAGATTGGGACCTCACCTCCACAGCTACAAAAGACCCCTTGCAGAGACGGAAGCAATGGTGTGATCACACCTTACAGAGAACTACCACTTCCTTCCTTACCTCCATGACCCATTTTAGCAGTGCCTTCAGACCTTCCTCACGGCGGTTCTTCCATTGGGTCACAATAAACCCTTCCATTCGAAGCTCTTTGAAGATCATTGGAATCTGAACGTAAGGACCTACAAGAAAAAGGCACCAGAAAGCCACCTGCAATATCGGTTTCATTTAAAAATACGACCCAATGCATAAAGAGAGCTTTTAGCCAGTAGAGACCACTGAATCACTTTGTTCCAGCCAGAAGCAACCGGTATATTTTCAAAACAGAATTTCCAGGACAAAAGACCAAGAATTCATGGACAGACAGCCATTCAGGGAAACAAAGGCCTGATATGTAAAGCTGTGGGACTAAACACCCAAGGCTTCTGAAAACAGTTTCATTCAGAAGTAAAGTGGCCTTAGCTTCAGCTGAGACGTTCCAGCTGAATCTGAAAATACTGTTTTGACAGCTTGTTTGATAGCCTGCCAAGCTCTCATGCTCTTCCTAAATCTTAGAAGAGTTCTACACATTTAAAAACAGCTCCCCCAGTCATAAAAACATGTGACAGCCTCCCCACTCCTAAAAGTCTGTCCCATTTTTAAAGTGATCTGGGACTCCAAAGTCGGCCAATTGTCAAAAAGAATTTAGATCTCCCATTTCTGCTAGAAGGCAAATTTGGAAAACTTCATGCTCTTGAAAGTGAATATTCATCTCGGTCATCTTTCCCAGCAGTTTCACCAGTAGCTGAAATCTTATCGAGGGGGGAGGAAAAACCCAAAACCTAAGGTGCGTAGTTTAAAAACCTGAAGGAAATCCATTCTCTCATCTAAAAGTACGTACCGTGTGAATGGCATCATGCCACCACACCTGCCTTCTACTGATCTGTATCTGCTCAGAGCCCTGGGGGATCCCATTTTAAGTAGTTTAGTCTCTCCTTCATTTCTAATCAGCTGATGTTCTCCATCCAATACGAGGGTGCACAAAGGAGGATGAGTGCATGTATGCACAAGGAGTGTGGTCACACTCCCGCTGTCCCAGAGCAGCAGCTAGTTACCCAAATGTACACTCACACATACACTCGAACGGCATATGGAAACAACCCATAACATCTCAGGAGACTCCCACTATGTCTCCTCTCTGCCATGACCAGACAAGAAATAAACTTCGATGCAAGAAACCTTTCTGAGGCACGGAATCATTGTACTGAGAGATGGCTCCACAGACTGCAATCCTTCCGTATTTCTTCATCTGGTTAACAGCAATACTGGCAAATTCTCCACCCACCTATAAGAACCAGAGCACATGCAGCATTAGTGCCAAAACCTGTCAACCTTGCATTGTTGCATGAAGAGGTTCAGTCAAGGGGTGGAGAGGTGAATTCCACTGCTGCAAGGACTTGGTGGCCGCAGAAACCCTCCCACTTTGTCAACTTCTATGAACACTCGTTGTCACTCTAAGAATTAGTTACAAAACCAGGAAATTGGTTTTAATTCCAAATCTGCTTCACAAAGCTTGGTTTGGAAACATTGGGCAGGACTTGCCATTAGGTCCCTCCTCCCAAGGGTCATGTATGAGAGTACCTCTGCTTTTCCCCACACCAGTCTGCACTTTTACCTCTTCACATCACGGTGATGTCAAGTTTTTACTTAATGATTCTCTTCTCCCAAATAGGGATGTGCTATGCTCAGAAGTTTCTAATAGAGAAAAGCTGTGAGAAAATTTACTGCTGGGGAGAGCTCTGCACAAAAGTTGGAAGTGAGAGGGAAGGGAATGGACGTGACCATAAAACCAAATTAAGACCTTAGCAGCACAGGACGTGATATCTGGAAGGGCAAGGCAAAGCACCCAGGCGCTCCTGCCCCAGAGGCAAGTGCTTTGCCCTGGCAGCATGCGTTCACATCGCTTGCCGGGGCATGGCAGGTGCGTTGCGATCCACACAGAACAACTCCATCAGCCCTGGATTGGCAGACAGATGGCTGACAGAAAGACATGCTGAAGCGGTGGTGACGGCTGCGCTTTAAACCAGGTAGCTAGCCAGGGAGTTTTAGGCCTGTATCTCAGCTAACACCTCTGTGCCAGGTATTGCCTTATCAGGTATAATGCATACGTTAGCTATATTAGGAAATTGAGAAAGCCAGGGTTTGGTCTCTGGCTTGATGGTGAAATGACATGAGTTGACTGCATCTGTACTGTGAAGCTCTCAGACTCCAAAACAATGGTCACATTCAAACAGCCTGTTGAGAACAGTCCACAGCACCTGTTAACTCCAGCTGCACCTAGGAGATGTCAGAAACCCTCCAGAGCCTCTCCAGTAATTTTACAAGGGGGCCTTGCAACTCTTTTGTTTACAGGTACTGGTGTAGTGACCTGGAGCATGTAACATAGGGCCGTCCACACTTGCTCCTCTTCCAGCAACAGCAGAGAACTGCATGGGGTCCAAGGTGGGGCCAGGAATGTACTACAGCACTCTTTGCTCAGCGTCAATTAAATGTTCACTGTGACCCTCACCTCCCCAAAAGGCGCCATGCTTTCCAGAGAGTAAATCACACAGAATCACAGAATGTTCGGGGTTGGAAGAGACCTCTGTGGGTCATCTAGTCCAGGCCCCTGCTGAAGCAGGGTCACCTACAGGCAGGTCTTGAATATCTCCAGAGAAGGAGACGCCACAACCTCCCTGGGCAGCCTGTTCCAGGGCTCTGTCACCCTCAGAGGG